TAATGTCATAATATATAAATATAAATACAAATATAAATATAAATATAAATATAAATATAAAGTGATCTAAATTTTTAATCTAACAATTTAATTTACAAAATTTATATTTAATATAAAATTATTAAACGGTATAATACTTAATAAAAATTACACTAATATTATTATAATTCTTTTATATATATATATAGTCCAAATTAATTAATTAATGGTGACTTTTTAATCCATTAGGGACTAATCCTTTTTATAAAATAAATAAATATTTTTAAGATACATTCTTTTTCTAAAAAAAAGTGTACGTAAAAAATAGTATTTTAATGTAAAAAAACTAAAAGAAAAGGATACACGACGTGCCATCTTTTTTAAAAATAAATAAAAATCATGTTTAAAAATTACAACATAAAAATAAAGGAAATAAAAAAAAGTAAAAGTCGTGAATATGACTTCCAAATTACTTATTTCGAAAAAATTTTAAAAAACATACTCCCAAAAGGTTAAAAAGCCTCCAAATGGTATTGGACTAGCTCTAGTCCATGTTACTCAGGCATTAGCAAGTGAACTGTTTGACCAAGCTAATGGTCAATAATTAAATACAATGAATTTGCTTAGTCAATTCGAATTTTAAGATATAATGATGATTGTAACTTCTTTTTTTTCCATGAATATCTCCTATCTCAATCAAAGGCTAACCTTGCTCACGACTATCGCTGGATTGAAGAGTTTTAGTAATTAAATATGTTCTTAAAATTAAATCACAATGCTTGATTGAATTGGCTCCACCCATATTGTAAATAAGAAAAAAGAAATGGGTGAAAATACTATATATATTACATATATGTTGTTAATTTAATGGACTGTGTAATTTAACTAATTATCATATTTTTGTAATTTAATTGTTGATAAATACTCTCTCTAAACTTATATATAACAAAAAGTGTTGGAATTTTTTTTAATTGAAATATGAAATTTTTTTAATTAAATTAATCTTAATGTTCTTAATCTAAAATTACTCTTATAGTAATAAATGAAAATAGTATTTATTATGAATATGGTCAATAATATTTTAAAAATTTTAGTATATATTTTTGTATAAAATTGTAAAAATTATATACATACATATATATATATATATATATATATCAAATTTTAATTTGTGCGAAATTAATTACTTTTTTTACTTAAATATAACATTTTTTTAATCGAAATATAGCTCTGTTTTACTCTATGGAACACATAATTTATTTTTTAAATATGTGATGTCGATTGATACTTATTAATATTTTGAAATAAATGAGTTTAACAATATCAAGAAACCTTTGAATTGAAATATTGCAATAATTATTTGCAGATATTTGACGGAGAACGAGCCAAAATCCGGAAATTGGTTTCTGTTTAGACCTGGAATCCAAGATTTAAATGTAATTATAAACCATGACAACAAATCATGACTATTATCCCTAGATTTTAACTTAAAATGACAACTAAAATTTTTTAAGCAGACTATTGATGAATTTTCCAGAAAGAAATACATTATTTAACCGAAAAGATATAGTATTTTAAATACCGATTTAATTAAAATCATGTTTAATGAACAAAATATATATTTTAATATAAAAAAGTGTAAAAAAATTATAAATATAACTTCTTTTCAACTTTAGTCAACTAATTTATAAAAACAGATATAATATTTAGCTAGTGAAACCCATAAATAAATATAAGTGATAAGGCTAATATAAGTCAAAGAAGGAAACCCATATTTTAAAGGGAAGAAATATATGAACACGTCTCTATAATAATATTTTTTAGGTGAAAGACGTGTCTATAATAATTTTATTTATTAATAGTTATCATTTTCTATTAATTTTCATTGCATTGTTATATGTATTTTTATCTCATTCTCACCTTAATTTATGGTTAAAGAACATAGGGGTAGTAAGAGAATCCAGGTCAATTAATTTAGAAGTGCGTGTGCTATTATAAATTTTTCATTTCGAGTTCAAAAATATAGCATATGTATTTTTTTATTTTTTATTTTAGAGTATAACACATGGGTGATTAGTTGATTACCCATATAGAACATGATTTTCTTTTAAAGGGAGATGAACACTGTTGAATGCTACTTACTCCTACCTCATATCTATACAGTAATATTTTCCATAAGAAGAAAAGGCTCAACCGTCAACGGTCAGAAAGGTGTGCGGATGTATTAAATACAAAAGAAGGGAAAAGTCAAAAGAAGCTAAAACTCTTAACATGAAAAAACTTTAGATGTGATCAGTCAATGGCCATTCTCAACTGCGCTTCTTAAATACAACAATCCGGTCTTACAAATTTTCCTATATTGTAAGAATCATTTTTACATAAAAATTTTCAAGAACCAACTTTTATGAAAAAAAAAAAAAAGAAGAAAGTGATTAAGATTCCAAGTTAATAATTTGATTGAAACAAAATTTAGGAAACTTCTTAAATTCGATGTGTCATAAAAGCCCATAAAAAAATGCTTTAAGAACATAAAATACTTTCTTTCTTTAGAGATGTTTTAACTAAACTCGAAATGAAAATAAATAAAAAAATTAACCATCCATATATTATTAGTGTAAAATTTTTTACACCAACAACTAATTATATTTTAAATTATTTTAGTTTTATTTAATTAAATAAATAAATAATATTATTAAAAGATATAATTAATTGTCAAGTGTATAGATTATTACCTTGAATAAAAAAAAGTCTGAGAAATGAAGAAGTTATAGCAAGCATAACTGAGTGTGGACATGAAGCATTTTGAAGTCCATCCTTGCAGAAACATTGAAATTTTGCAGCATCGAAGCCACACTTTCCATCAGAATCAGTACAAGTTTTGCACTGATCCTGATTTCCCGTCCACTCCAATCCGAAACCGTCATTCAGTGCTGTGTTTATTGCATTGGAATCGGCAGACACAAGTGAAGTGATGTTTTGAGAAATAGGAATGACCACAATCTTGCATGGCCCAGTATACGAATAAGGGAAAGGTCCGAAAGTGTAGTAGACATCATTTCCACAGCCAGTACTATAGGGATTCGTGATGCTATTGGGGTTTGAACTTGAAGAGCACTCATAATACAGCGTCAAGTTAAAAAGCACATCATAATCATATTGAAAGGGAGTATTATCAAATGTGATGTTCTTGTAACCACCCACCACACAGATGTTACTCCAATCGTCCCTAGCGACTGTGAGTGTCTTTGCATCATCCCAATGAAGAATACGGTATTTGGTGTCATGGATGGTTATCTTGGGGACATTCTCTTCGCATGTGAGCTCCTGTGAACCACAATACTTATCTCTGTTTCGTCCCCAGAATGGGTACTTGAGATTTGTGACACTACTTCCGCACCTGAAAGCGTTACTACAGGTCGTGTAACTACTATCATCCTCACAGAGACAAGTTGGAACAGTGGTTGAGATCACAAACAGAATGAAAATGAAACAAGGCTCAAGAGGCACAGCTTTCATTCTTCCTAGCTACCTAGCTAAGATGAGAAAATATTACATGATGAGGTGCAGGATTAGGAACCAACAACAAAAGGAAGATGAAGGTTGAATCGGTAAACTGCGCGTATTAGATTCATTATATTATAATCAATGCACCTTTCACTTTCAACTTTGTTTTAAAGATTGCATCCAAATTTCAACACTGATGTTTCTACGAAACCCCAGCGAAACTGCAACTTAGAATTTACGGAAAACTTGGGTTTCCAATTGACCAATTATTTATCCTTTTTTTTTATTTTTTATTTTTCCTATCACGAGTATCTCTCATCCAACTAGAGATTTGGCACTACTGTGAGGACTATTGACCCAAGAAGATTTGCAACAATGTGATTATCGTTGATCGGAAAAATTTGCATATTATAAGTTGACCCAAAAAAATTTCAGGGAGCAAAATATTTACTCTTGTTTGGTGTGGTGATGAAATCCTTGATACAAAAGACTGTTTTTTGGACACCGATTATTTAGAAACACTTGTGAGACATCTTTACACAAGACAAAATATACCGAGTCAAAAAAATATATAATTTGTTTAATTTATTAAAAAATAAAAAGACATTTTTTAAATGTGTTGGAATAAGACTTTTTTGTATAATAAATATGTAGTAGAGTGAAAATATAATAAATAAATTATTTTAATAGGATTTATAAGAGTTACCAGGCTCTTTATTAAATTTATACAGAGAGCATATATTACCCTTAAAATTTAATAGGCTTAACACATTTATCACTATTTATTTAAATGAGAACAGTTATATGCGACTAACGTCATCGGAAATTTTTCTTTAACGAAAAATGACTTTATGGGACTTTCTTGTAACGAGAGTATTTTCTAAAGTTTTTATTTTATTTTAATTTTTATTAATCATATTTATTTTTAAAATTAGATTTTAATATTTTTAAAATAAATTATCAATAATTAATAATCTATATCTAGTGCCTATAGATATATACAATTGAAGGTCATACAAAAAAGTAAATTTTTACATGTGTTAACCTCTCAAGCATCCACCATTTTAATGAAGTTTCAAAAATTAGCATTAGAAGGCCTAAACATAAATTAACTTTAACAAAAACAATAGCAAGATTAAAAAATATACATGTGTCCGTTTGCATGGTTATAACAAAAGCTTTTAACAGTTGTAATAACCATATTACCTTTAGCTCGAATAAAATAAAATTGGATTAATTTTAACCCAAATCAAATTTCTTTGTATATTTACTCACAGACCTATTTTGGGAAAGGATTTTTGAAGTGATCCTCAGGCCTCAAAGAGTGCTCCTATCAAATTTGAGTAGCTAAAATAGAGAACTGAAATAATTTTTTTTTATAAAATATTTATGTCATATATATATATATATACATATATATAAATTTTAATAAAATTCATACAATGTCTTAAAAAAGCTTTAAATTTTTTTTGTAGTATTGAGAGAAAAAATAAATTATGAATTAGTTAAACTTCATAAATTAATATGTAATTTTAATTAAAATATATTATATAATTTATTTGAGTTAATTATACAACAATACAACATGTTAATTTAATTACCACATTAAAGTGTTAAATAATCAAATTCATCTTTATTTTTATTTTATACAAAGAAATAATTAATTTAAATTAAAGATATGTATATAAATTATTTAAGTCAAATATTATATAATGTAAAAATAAAACATAATTTATTGTTATTATATATATAATATGTTTGTGTAGCATATACTAATAAATATGTATGGTTCAGTGGTAGGTTTAGTGTAATTCATGTTAAATTGGTGGATTCGAATCTGACATGTGAGTGTAGTCAATTTTTAACGGTTGAATGCTGACGTCATTTCCGAGTTAGCTACATATCTAATCTCATGTGTAACTCAAACTTCTTATGTATCTGAGTTCCTGTTGGAGCCGAATTTTAAAACTCTGCTTTCACAAATGACAAATTATTTGCTTGGTTTACGAGGAGATTGTGCAATGATAGAACAATATTCAATTTATTGTTTACTCTATTATATAAATTATAAATATATCTATTGTTTAATAATGTTATGTTTTTGTCCAGTTACAAACATATGAAGTGTACAACATGATACAAAAACATGACATAACGGGGCGTCCAGAAGTTTACACCATTGCCGGATGATAAAATATAGATTGGGAATTTGCTTCAACTATGTACAATGAAAGGGATCCTAATAAATTTGGTAAAAGCTGTGATAATAAGTGATAGTTAGGTTATCCATGGGGACAAAAATTATGACAGATATATATGTTGTGTTCATTTTGCATTTTCAAATTTGTTAAAGTCTATGTCTGTACAACATAATTGATGTCATTCAAAAAGCAATTCATTCTTTTTGTTTAACAATGTTATGTTTTTGTCCACTTACAAAAAGATGAAGTGTACCAAACTACCAATGATTAAAAAAAATAATATAGCGGGATCTTCAGAAGTTTACACTATGGCCATTAATTCTTTCGGCCAAATTGGGAATTTACAATAATGAACTGGATCCTCTCGAATGAGGTTTTTTTTTCTTTTTTCTTTTTTCTTTCTTGGTGATATTGATTATTAAAATCTTTGACATTTGATTTTACCTTTAATTTTGAGAGATTTTTGCATAATAGAAGTCTGTGTTTTATTTAATTTATTGAATGTTTTATTTTAAAATAATAAAAGCTTGAGTATCAAAATCCCCCCCTCTCTCTCTTTAAGAAAAGTTGATTTTTAAAATTACTCGAGATAAATTATAAAATTGTATCATTGTGTTTTTATGACAACCGTAAGCAAAAACATAACATTGTTAAACAAAAAGAATTTTTCAATTACTTGAATTTTTCAATTTTGTGACACAATTATACTTTTATTGCTCGTTATGTTTTGATTTTGACTATATATATATAAGGAGAGTTATAATAATATCGATGTAATTTTTGTTAAGTATTACAATGTTCAATAACTCTATATTAAATGTGAATTATATAAATCTAATTATTAAATTAAATTTTTTTTATTCTTAGATCATATATACAAAGTTTTATATTAATCCAAGATGATTTGATACTTCATTCTTATAAAACAAAATTGACATAATATATATATTGCAAAATATACTAAAATATAAACACTTTATTTCCCTTCAAGTTGTTGTTCAATTTTAACAAAATTTGATATACACATATAAAGTGATATGAATTTTCAATCTAACAGTTGGATTTACAAAATTTACATTTAATATAAAATTATTGAGTGGTGTAATATTTGGTAAAAGTTACACTGGTATAATTATAACTCTCAAATATATATATATATATATATATATATATAAAGGTTCAAACGACACCGGTGTAACTTTTACTAAGTGTTACACCGCTCAATAACTTTATATTAAATGTGAATTTTAAAAATCCAACCATTAAATTGAAAGTTCATATCTCTTAGATCATATATGTCAAATTTTATATTAATCTAAGATGATTTGATGTTTCATTCTTATAAAACAAAATTGATGTAATATATATATTTTAAAATATATACTAAAATATGAATACTTTGATTACCTTTAAATTGTTGTTTAATTTTAACAAAATTTGACATATATGATCTAAGAGATATGAACTTTCAATCTAACAGTTGAATTTTTAAAATTCACATTTAATATAAAGTTATTAAGCGATGTAACACTTAGTAAAAGTTACACCGGTATCGTTTGAACTCTCCTTATATATATATATATAG